TGTTCATAGTCATTCATCTTCGGAGTTCAGGTTAAGGTCCCGTGTATTATAAGAATGGGTATTATAGAACCAACCCAGGAATCACTTTTTATAGTCTATAATTTTATCTTGTAAACACACCTAAAAACTGTCATAAAAGATGTTAAAATAAGCTGTTATATAGCGTAGAAGTGAAACTAATGCAAGTTGTTGTTCATTGAGAAACAGAGAAACGACTGAGTGCCCTATTTACCAGTTATGGATGACGATATATTAACTGTTGCCCCCTGGTGGCTCAGCGATAAGTCTCATAACTTACAACTCTTTGTTTGTTATAGACCAAAGCCACTTTGGGCTATCTGATGTATACACCACAGGGAGTTAAAGCCCGATTTTAGCGTTGTAAGTATGTAGACTTATTGCTGTCTCACCGGTGGAGTTTACAACGCTAAAATTTAGGTTTAGATACCCACAATGGGCAGATCACAGTTATCCCATTGTATAGCATTGTTGCATAATAACAAACAAATAAATAAAAAAATCATTTAATAAGAAATATATTTTTCAAATGTTTTAATTAATTAATTCTATAAGTTTATTAACCTTCTGTTTTTTTTATTTTCACTGTTATTGATCTGCCAATGTCAGATGGAGGGAGTGCGACTTAAGAGAAGAAAATAAAATAAGATTCAACGATACATTTGCAATAGTTACGTCACCGGTTTTCCAAGGAACCACTTGTCTAACTCTGTACCTGATGTCCCTGGATTATCACCAGGATAAGCTAGAGCTGGATAAGAAAAATATCATCATTAACATTAAACCTCATCGGGAAACTCAACAATCAAGTTCTCCAGCTCCACGGATAACTCCTTATAATACCAAAGATAGGCCAATATATTCTAACATCTTTAAAGGCATCCAAGCCTCAGAGCTTGCTGAATTCTTCTATGAAACCAAAAACTCTGAGAAGTTTGGTGTAGCAGTTCTGTCAGCAGCAGTCAGTTCACTAGGTGTGTATGTTTTACTATTTCTGTTTTATAACAAACTCTGAGAAGTTTGGTGTAGCAGTTCTGTCAGCAATAGTCAGTTCACTAGGTATGTGTTAACTATACAATTGGTTTGGTAGAAATTCCCTTTTGTAAAAGAGACAAACTTTTCTAGGTAAACATATATTTTATATTAACTTACTATTAAAGATTAATGAAGTAACAAGTTATTTTAGGTTATATCTAGTTTGTCTTATCCAACTGAGTTTTTGTTGTTGTTGTTGTTGAGTAGTAACCAACAACAACAGTCCTTCATTTCTTTACCTTGCTCGAGCTACAAGTATAAGAATTGGTGGTTAAATTAAACTTATCATCGACTTTCTTTTGTTGTTTATTATATTAACCTCTTGCGTTCATTTGTGTATTGGCTAAATCAGTTGATGTTCACATACGTCACTTAAACGAGTTATACCAGCTGATTTACGTTTAGGTTTCTGTCATGTTAAACAACTATAAATATTTAAGTTCAGCTCCTTCATTCTCACAGGGAAGTGGGAGATGAAATTGCACGAGAAGTGGGAGAGCATTGCCTCTAAAACAGGAGTAAGGGCAGAGTTTCCGAAGCTAAGCCTTCCAGGAGAAATAGATATATGTGACGAGATGAAAAGAAACAAGGATTTGAAAACCATCCCGTTTCTTGTAGGGGTGCCACCTGAGTCCGAGGTGAGGTTTCGTAGCAACGTCGAAATAACAGAGTTTCTAGTGTTCATGTCTCGGAAGAATAGTGGTTTGGTGTTCACAGCTTGGAGACCTCCAAAGGACCAGAACTCGACTCTTCTTACAGGAGTCGTTGCCTCAAAATGCGATCAGGTAATTTTCATGATTGCGGATGTTATAAACATTATTCCTTTTCGAACTGGTGTATTTAAGTGTTTTACACTCACTAAAACAAACATATCATTCTATAGGTATTTGAAGGAACTTGTATCATTTCGCCACAATTTAATTCTTCATATTGTTAGCCGACACTTGGCAGCTTGTACATAATTGAATAATCGAAACTGGTCTGACTCATAGCCCCCCCCCCATCCTAATGAAAGAATAGACCATTCCAGGCTTTCACTTGTTGTTAAACAAATGTTTAAAAAAAACTCTATTTATTCAATTCTTCAGTTTTGTCTCTGATTTGAAAAGGTTTGTTTTAACTGACCGATTTCAAAGTGGATTAAACCTTTGCTATGCGACTGTTAGATGTTATATTTTAATGTAATTCTAAAGCAGCTAATGCAAATAAAGATGCACGAGAAACTTAAGCTGTTGTAGAAAGAAGTGAACGTTTAAGAATAGTATATTTTTAATGATACTCAGATGTTTGGAGACAACACTTCAGTGAGTCAATTCTTCAACATCTTGTACCCTCTCGTTACTGACTCTTCTGGTCAAACCGTTCTCCTTGAACCCTTGACGAAGGACATGTGTGGTGAACATAACGACAGTTGTAACCAGTATAATTCAAGTATGTTTAATACTTTATTTTATACCGTTTAGTAAGTTTTTAAGGCCTGTAACGATAAACCACGCATGCGTACTTCGTGCAGTATCCTTCCCTTTTTTTCGTTCGCTCCTTGTAGTTTAATTTCAATATAAACTAGGAATATTATTCAAGAAAAACATGTGATTTAGTATTGTGTTATGTAATGTAATGATGGTTTTAAACAGGTGATTTAGTATTGTATTATGTAATGTAATGATGGTTTTAAACAGGTGATTTAGTATTGTATTATGTAATGTGATGATGGTTTAAAACAGGTGATTTAGTATTATGTAATGTAATGA